ACATTTTATCTTGCAGGAAGTAAACTTCTATATATTTGCTGAAGTTCTTTCCTTTTGTTGGACTATCAAAAAAGTTTAGAGAAGTCTGAATTAGGTTGCCTTTTTCTCTGTTCCAGTACTGTAAATGTATAAAGCATAGTAGCATTTATTGCTGCAGGTAAATTGGGACATAATGAGCATAGGGAAAAAGCAAAAGACATTTCCAGAGAGTGTGCTCAGAAGGCAGCTGAGATGAAAAGCTATCCATCATCATTGAGAAAGGATCCTGACAGAGGATCAAGGAGAGAATCTGGAAAACAAAAAGGTAACAGAAATTTCCTGTGGCTAATTCCTCCCGTATACCCTAACCCTATCTAAGTTTGCTTTGAAATTCTAAGGAACGTGAAAGAATTTTTTAAAAATGAATAAACTTTAAATTTGAATATGTTAATACTGTAAATAATTTGTACTCTGTTCTGGTAATTTGTTTAAGATCTATCTGGAGAAACACACACTAATTTTAAGCCAGGATCACCACCTTCTGGAACTGGATTTAGGCATCATTCTAATGAACGTCTATATGGTAGTCATGGGAGAGGACATTATAGACATGAAAAGATGCACAATCAAATTAGACCTACTGTACAGATGTTCAGCTCAAATAAAACAGAAAGTGTTTCTGATGGAGAGAAGATGAACCGCATAAAAACTGACAGCACGGCTGGTTATGAAACAGATAGTAGCCAAGATTCCAAAGACAAAGGAAGTGTCAGTAGCAGCAGAAGTCGAAGCAGAGGTTGGAAACCCATGCGAGAAACACTGAATGTAGATAGCATCTTTATTGAGTCTGAGAAAAAAGAGTATAGCTCAAAATCCAAGCTAAATGCAAGCAATAAACCCAAACATGAAAAGGAGCAGAGTTCAGTCAACTGCCCCAAAGAAAATCAGAGTCAGAAAGGTCTGATGACTATCTATGAAGATGAAGCAAAACAAGCAGGAAGCCAGAATTCATTGGATTTGGAAAGGAAAGGAAATAGAGAAAAAACCACAGGATTTATAGAGAGAAAGGTTCATAGTGATAATTGGCAAGTACAAAGGACTGAATCTGGCTATGAAAGCAGCGATCATATTAGCAATGCATCTGCTAACTTGGATTCACCAGTTACTGAAGGAACCAGCCCTGTTGATACCAACACTCTGAAAGAAAATATTTCCTGCAGGTAATGATATCAAAAGTATATATGTGTTTATATAAAATATATGTATACTGTAGTGTAACAATACCAAAACTCTCTACCAGAAATCTTAACTTTTAAAATGAAATTCAGTATTTCCTTTCATCATAATAGACTTTGTAGTATTCCAATTCCACTGGTAATTGAAAGCTTGGGAGAAGAGAAATACAAAACTGATTGACTAATAAGTAGAGTTGCTTGCATTGATTTTCTATTTATATTTGATTATCAAAATATAAATTATCAAATAGAAAATATTTGCTTATTAAGTTATCTATGTAGATTTCCTGTACTAAAGGGAAAAGAAACTTTTAACACTTTTTATTAAGATCCAGGTTTAATATTATTTTTATTTAAATGGCAGTATTTGAGGATATTCCAAATAGAATCAGGAGGCTGAGTTTTGTAAAAATACTAAGACTATAATCATGTAAATCTTGTTGCTTCCCTTTTTTCTATTTAACTTTCCAGGGTTGTATGTGTTCTCTTGATGCTTCTGCTTTATATTGCCAGTTGTAATACTGGGAGGAGTGAGAGAAAAGAGGAACAGGTTTTTTGGAGTTATTTTGTTCTATTTTTTAAATATGCTTCTTTGTTGAATTTGTAGATTCCTGTGTAACAAACATTTAGGTGTTTTGTAAAAATTTCAGTGGAATGTTTCAGGGTTAGTGAACTCTGTTACACTATTTGTACAGTCTGCTGATAATTACTGTATCATGTTTCATAGTGATCAAAACTTATCAGTCAGATATTCTGGAAATATCTTGCAGTCTTCCTCCCACCAGAACAAAAACTCTTTGGAAGGTAAGGTTGCTATCTGTGTTACATAAGTATATTGAACTGTTAAATGATATTTGACTTCTAAGACATTAATGCTTCATTAATAGTGGCAATAAAGGTGCAGTCCTAATGTCAGACATATTTAGTTTGACTAGAACATAGAGTTAGAATTCCTGCTGAGCTGTGTCTGATTTTAACCATGCATGGATCTTCATGTCAGCAGAAGAGAAAAATAACACATCTATTTTTATATTAGTTGGAATTCTGAAGGCACAGCAGTGAGCTGCTCTCATTGAATGTTTGCCACAATGATACTATATTGGGAGTGTTCAATCACAAGCTTGCACTGCCACCTCCTGTTCAGTATATATAATACCTTAGTAACAAATTAATAGTACTTTCATGGAGTTTCAAGATATTTTGTTAGAGAACCTAGACTGTTACACTTTTATCTGATTTAAATTAGTTCCATACTGTCAAAAATGTATTTATGTTGGCTTGAAAATTTAGAAAATGTTTTCAAAACAATATCTTGCAGAATGACTTAATTATATTTGGCACTTTAATTTTAAACATTTACTCATGTGTGTCTACTTTAATTACCATTATGCTTGGCTGGGAACACAAATAGCAGAATTACCCTTTCAGATCACATATCTGTAAATGTAGCAGATTTTAGGATTAGGCTGTCATATGGCTTTTTCTCTTAATGTTAATTTTACATGTTGTTTGTTCATAATATGTTCATGTTGATGCTTATGCAAGTAGTCCTCATTTAGCAACCACAACTGGGACTGGCAACTTGGCTGTTAAGTGAAGCGGTCACTAAATGAAACCATGACTGTGCTTACAATCTTACTTCAGCTTTCCTTTGCTTTACAGACCTCCAAAGTTCATAAATGTGAGGATTGATCATAAAGTTATTTTTTCATCACTGTTGTAACTATGAACAGTCAGTAAATGAGGCAGTTGCTAAA